GCGAGGTGCTGAGCGATGGAGCGATGATCCCGGCGGCGGCAGGCGGCGGCGGTGACGATCGGTGCTCGGTGCTGCAGGGTCTCCTCCGGGTCTGTTCGAGAGGGTTAGAATCCCACCTTCGTCGCCAGTGAAAAGTACTCAGAAACGTGGAGTGATTTCAGCAAAGTACTTTTATTAGTGAAGAACAAGACAAGGAACCCCGGCACGCAGGCCGGTATATATGCCCAGAAAAACCCACCACCAAACACACCCCCTAGTGACCCTATAGATTATTTACAGTGGCCGAGAGTCCCATTGGCTCTCGGCCGCGGACCTGGCCCTCTGGTTGGTGCGGGCTAAGATCCGCTCCGCTATTGTTCTTCAGGAACGAAGCTTGGGGCTTGTGCTTGACTGCATGGCCCAACGGTCGCGCACGTGGTAATGGCGGATACATTACAGAGGGAGTACCTGGAGAGGGGAAAAGTCTGGGATGTGATGCCATACAGTCTGCACTCTGAGGCTCTGAAGCTGCCATTTTGCCCAGGGAACTAGCTTGCTAGCCCTCCAGTCAGGGTGGGGAATTCCCCAATCTCAGCTCCTTCCTTGGAGCAGCAGCAGGAGAAGCATTTTGAAAAACAGCAGCAGCAGTGTGTGCACCATTATGTCACTTTTGGTTAGCTCTAGGAATTGCCGGAAACTCTATAGTAAAACCATATGGTAAGCTCTATAAAACTCAGGTTTTCACTGGAAATGGCATAGTGGCACATGCAACACTGCCCCCCATGACCCTGCAGGTTGTGATGGCCTGGCAACCCTAAGGGGAACTGACTTCTGTAATGTGGAGATCAATAGTAGTTTGGGGAGAACTCTAGGTCCACCTGAAGGCTGGCACGCACAACCCTATGTAGGTGAGATGCTAGCATAACCAGTATGGAAAGGGAACAGCACACAAAGGTTTTTATGGGACTAAAGAAATTCATAGAGATGCTGTACAAAAGCGGAAAGGATATAACTGCCATTAAAGGCAAACCATGCACAGATGTGTATCAGTGTACTAAAACAACTGCAGAAGGGGCCTGGGTGTGTCCCACTTCCTAATAAAGCACTCGCAACAGCCAGTGTTTGGGCTGTCGAAAATTTATGGATTCTCAATCACCATGTTAATTATCAATAATATTAAATTGTATATTCAAATGAGCTTTTTTAACACCAGCTCTTTGTTGGTCTTTTGCTCTTAATCTTTAAAGATAAAGGTTCCCTTGCTCAAAAGCCAGTCGAGTCCGACTCTAGGGTTGCGGTGCTCATCTCTGTTTCAAAGCCGAAGAGCCAGCGCTGTCTGAAGACATTTTCGTGGTCATGTGGCTGGCATGACTAAACACCAAGGCACACGGAAGCTGTTACCTTCCCAACAAAGTGGTACCCATTTACCTACTTGCAATGTCTTGCTTTCGAACTGCTAGGTTGGCAGGAGCTGGAGCCAGAGAAAGGAGCTCACTCCATCATGCGGCCACCCAGGTCTTGAACTGCTGAACTACTGACCTTCCACAGCCTGCAGTTCAGCGTCTTAACCACTTGAGCCACCGCAGCTCCTTCTTAATCTTTAGTTTGGCTCTAATTATAAAAGTTTGCAGATCACTGGCATAAGCGTAGCTCATGCTACTGAAATGGACGGCTTGACTATATCTGGGGGAAGTTGAGCTATCATAACTTCCTCCATGAAATAATTGAGGGGGTGTATTGGGATTTGACCCCCTCCCCTTCTTTTTTTAAGCCTTATATGCCACTGTAGCTACATCATCATCCCTGCAGTGCGCTAGAAATTGGCTTGCAGTATACTCCAAATATGTGTCAGCTTTTTCGAGGTTTGTAAGAGGGATACAATAGCCCTGTTACTTAGTTGACCCACCGATCAACCATCTTTTAAAAGACGTTGCCTCCGATTAGATGACTTGTGTGTTTCTCATTTCTACGGCAAGCCGATTTTTTTAAAAAGGGTCTTAGAGGTTACCTTAGAGGGACCTGCGTCACAACCTAGCAACAAGTAAAGTGAAAATGAATTACTGATCAAAAAAGGAAATGCTCCTGATCCTATACTTGTGCTGTGCGTGTTTAAAATCCCCCAGCTGCCAACTAAACTCGCGACTGGTGGCGCTAGTACCGGCCAATTTATTATTTGTGAGAGATATTCACGATCCGCTTTGTTTACAAATATAGCTTAGGCGGGTGCCTTGTATTTTAGCTAATTTAAAGCGCACACGAGTTTCTCTTTCTCCCCACATCTTCGGTACATCTCGTTGGTAGACTGAAGCTCTGTCAGCCTGGAGAACTCGGATCATAGATCAAGGGTCCTAGAGCGATACCCTGCCTTCACGTGGAGGAGGGACTTCCTGAATACGTTTGACGCCACATTGATTTTACGTTAGGGGGGTAAAATTGACGGCTGCTCCTAGGAGGTGATCTTAGGGACAGATTAGCGTCCACCCCTCCACCAAACGTAGAAGCAAAGTATTTTCGAGGCGTTTTAAAAAGTTTCGTAAATAGAGTGTTGTAACACCCTAAAGGAAGACAGGAGGGCTTGGCGTGATGTGGTCCATGGGGTCGCGAAAAGTCGGACTTGACTGTGCGACTGAACAAAACACCTTGAAGACTAACGTTAGCTATCGTGGACTAGAATGAAGTGAGCTCTATCTTATCGTAGCAAAGCTAGTGAATGGTCATTGTATATTTAGATTAGATTTGAATTTCGCATAATCACGTTTTTCTCCGTCTACCTACTGCATTTCATGGCCCTTTAACCCTGCTGCTGAAGCTTTTCTTTTCATAGCTCCTACCTGAAACAACTGCCCTGGGAGACCTTTGGGAGGCTCATTGAAAATGAAGAAGTGGGCTCTAGTCCCCAAAAGTTTTCGCTGGAATAATTGTCGCGTGAGTTTAAGGTGCCACACCCATTATTTGTGCTGCAACAGGCAACTTAACTGAAATACAAAAGTTGCAACAGGCAACTTAACTGGAATACAATTTAAAAATAAGTTTTCACGTTGCAAGGGGGACGGGGCGGAAACCGAGATTAATTTGTAATGCCCACACAACGTACCCTGTACTATCCCTCTATTGCAGTGTGTGATCGTGCCGAGCCTTTGGGTTGGGGCAAGCCTGTGATAATCTCGATATTGGGGAGCATGTTGAGGGAATGACTCCCCACAACCCCGCAGTCCAAAGTTTTTTTTATCCCCACTGCAAGATGGGAGTTGGATTGATGTGCCGTGATCAACACATATCAGGATGAGACAGAAATTGGTAAAAGAGCAGCTTATAACAACTTTTTAACCACCACCTCGCGCTCTGTTGGTGAAACGCCACAGACCCTTGTCTGCACTGGAATACTAAACGGCTATTACGAAGATACATGCGGGCAAACACCACTGCAGTTTCAAGATATGAACGTCAAAAGCCAACCAAAAAGAATACTAATTTGTGCTATTTGGATTCCGGCTAATAAAAGGCATTGCTGGGGCAGGGGCGGATTTCGCCCTGCGCCAACACAGCTACTTGCAAAACATCTGATGTTTCAAGCACGAACACTATTCATGTCCTCCAAACGGGAGAGCACAGAATTAAATCCAGGTAAACAAAATTGCATCAAAAGAAAGCTGTCCTGTCCAGCGCTAGCTGCTCTAAACCAACGCCTTCTAGGTCTGAGTCAATACACGACCAGTGAGGAGAGCTTAAATTATTTTTATTTAACTTCACACGCCCTAGTTAAATTACAAACAGCTGCCAGAGATTTTTTGCACTACAGACGCGCCCCATACGCCATCCCCTCCCTACGCAAACGCTTTGCGCCCTAACCAAGGGACATGAGTGATGCCGGTCTCCAAACGAAGTATTAGGGCTCGGGCGCATGCGCACTCCAGTGTCCTCCCCCATGTCCTTTGCAGGCCGCGCACGCTCCCTGAGTTGCCCGTTGGGTTTTGTGATTGGTCTGTCAACCGAAAGCGACGTTATTCGTGTGTCTTCCACCTTCCTGTCCGGCTGTAGGAGAGGCAATGGCTGGCGTGCTGAAGAAGGTGAGGGCACAGACGGAGCTGTTGCTGTTTCTTGAGGGAGGGAAGTTAATTTACTTGGCTGAGACAGCGAAGCCGGGGGGGGGGGGGGGGGAATCTTCGGGGATCTTTTGGTTGTGAGGGCCATCCATAGGTATCCATAATGAGATTCTGGTAGATATGATAATTTTGAAGGAAAGTAATTAATGAATTAGATACAAGTTATGTATCAAGCCTTAACATGATTAAATTCCTTACCTAGTTTTTGCATTTTGGAGGGCAATAATTGAGCAGTTACTAATGTAATTAGTTTGCTTATTGGTTGTGTTTCTCTCTCTTTAAAAACTTCTGCAGACTACTGGGCTTTTGGGGCTCGCTGTCTCTGAAGCTCCACATGATGTAAGTTTTCTAAAATACCTATTTCTTTGAAGTTGATTTAAAGCAGAAGCTTCCACTGATTAATGCTTGTGTCTATATTAATAAGGTGTATTAAATCATAGGCAATTATTAGTTGAGATTCATAACTTAGATTATGGACAGGTATTACATTCTGATGAATCAATTACCAAAAGGTTATATCTGAATTCTTTAAACATGCTAGGCTGCAGGTAGTGCTACTTACTTTAATATAAAAAGACATGTTATTATTATTTTAAATAGCGACTTGCTTAGTTGCCTGTGGTGGTAAGAAATGTCTCCAGGTGATCAAGTTGGGAAGTTGTACTAAAGTGGATGGGGGGGGGGGGGTTTTGGCAAGGGGAAAAAGTTTTTGAAAGAAGTTTTTAACTATTTTGAAATACTGTTCTAATAATGCTGTATATGTTCAAAGCACTTTCCACACATTTTCTTTTTATTCTTATAAAAACTCTTCAAGGAGTCTAGCATCATTACATGAATAAAGTAACTATGGTGTGGGGGGAACAGTAAGACTGAAAGTATCTTGCCTAATACATGGTATTGAGACATGAATCACACCAAAGGTCTTTTGATTAGTATGTCAGCCACTGTTATGGAATGTATGCCAGAACCTGTAGCCACTACTTAACATTGCATTTTTAAAAAGTTAAATTGCTGATTATAAATCAGCCCCCCAAACAGAATGAAGTAAAAAAAAACCAACAGTGGTATCATGTCTACCGATAAATATCTATAAAAGGTTTCCAAATATCTAAAAATATGTCCATGCACAATTGCTGTCTACATACAATATGTTGAAATGTTAACAAGGTTGTGAGATCCTCAATCCACTGGATTACTGGAGGTGAGAATTTATCTTTCCAGTGTTGTGATATAGCCCTTTTAGCAACACTAAGGGCACAGAAGGTCCTGTCTTGTTGACCTTCTCCCTAACATTTCATTAAAAAGCCAGCTTCCTACTTGAAGAAGGGTTCTTCATGCTTGGAGTGCCACTGCCACCTATAGAAGTAGCATGAATTTTGTGGGAGAGATGATTTTATCTGCTTCTGAAAAGGCTGTTAGTGCTAATTTGTCACAAATTTAGTTTTTGCGAAATCTGACAAATCTTGACTTCGAGCATCTATGCATTGGTAGCTGTTCAATTACAAGAGCTGACCAGTCTTTGTTATTCCAGTGAACTGTTTAAGTGTACTTAGAGGCCTCATACCCAGAAAGATACCTAGAAAGAAACCATTTCTGAAAATTCCCTCAGTTTCAAAGTGTAGCATGGTAAGCTGCACAAAAAAACAGTCTCAAACCTCCCATGGACACATAGAACTAGTTGCATGGATCTTGGCATTCCTACCGTTGTGTGGGAGGAGGGGTCTCAGTAATACCTCTGTCTATCTGGTATATTGACCAAACCTTTGGTTTCCTGTGCAGTAAAGCTTTCTGAAAAGGACCAATGGAGTTTGTTTTGTTACTTTGAGCTGTTGCTGTGTAGTACCTAGGGGAATGAGTTGTGATCCAGGAGACTGCTGGTAGAAATCTCATTTGAATTTGAAGGTGGCCTCAGGCAAGCCACAGTTTCTATCAGCCAGTCTCTTCTGCAATATGGAGATTATACCGGCGTACCTTATACGAATGTTGCAAGGATACAATTATAATGTACAAGTGGAGGCACATGAGACTTGTGTGGGGGGAAATCCCATATCCCATATCCCCCCCCCCCATCCTGAGCTTGGTGAAGCCCTTCCATGGAACTCTGCTGCAGGCATCCACTGTCATGCCCAGACTCACAGTAGCTGCCAGCTTTCACCGCCCCCAGGCCCACAGCATCTGCTGGCCCCGACAGCTCCTGGGTCTGCAGTGGCCATCAGCCTCCAGCCTCCACCACCACAGTGCCCAGAGCAGCAGCTGCCAGCTTCTACCACCATTATGTCTGGGCCTGGAGCAGCAGTGGCTGATCTCTGCTGCAGCATCCTTGTCCACCACACCCAGGCCCACAGCAGCTGCCAGTGTAGGCCTGTGATACTTGTGGGGGCATTTCCCCCCCCCCCCCACTTTCCTGCTGCATGACTGCTGGGCCTGTGCCTTTGGCACCATCGGGCCTGTTGCAACTCCCGGTCATTGCTGCTGGCAGCAGCACACCCAGTGCAGCTCCTAGGCCATGTCACTGCCAGCAGCATGCCCAGCTCTGCTCTTAAGCTGAGCAGCCCCGTGAGGCCCAGCACTGCTTCTGGGCTGTGTGGCCTCCACCGGGCCCAGCACAGAGCACTGGCCCGTGCTGCTGCTGGACCCAGTGTGTCTCCCAGATGCTGCTGCCCACTGCCAGAGGTAAGTGCACTCTCTGCACTTGCACAGAGAACCCTACTTTCCTTTCAGGGGGACTTAACCCCCCCAATATATTTTTGTTAAGATTTAAGGTTTTTCTGCAAACTTAGGGGGTCCCTAAGTCTTGGTGTGGCTCCTGTCCATGGATTTAAGTATCTGCAGATGGAGGCCACATGTGGCTAATAAGGGGAAGGCCAAACCTAATCCTAGACTAAAGAAGTAGAGTTACTATCAGAGGTGAATATAAGTCAGTATTGACCAGTATGGAGAACTGGTAAGAAACTGGCCTAAGTGGTACTTCCTGTCTTCTTCTTCAAGCCCTTCCCTCTGGAGAGAGACAGTACAGGTAAGAGATTTAAGATGCTTTTACCCTTGTCACAAGAATCACATATTATGGTCTTTTGATCAGGGCAAGTTTCTGAATGTGAAGTAGGCTAATAAACCATACTGTGTTGTATTAGGATGTATGGAAAGAGAACCAGAACATTAACTAGCTATTTGAAACCTTTCAGTTTTTCATACATACCTTGAATTTGGGGTTCTCAAGACTTCAGTGCAGCATTCTCCAGCAGAGCCCTGCTTCCATAATTGGTACTGCCAGTGTCATTTGTGATGTTCTTCAGGTGTTAATGCATACGCATGAATGGCCAGTTTAAAGATGCTGCTTACTGAATGTTGTGTGATCTTTTCAGCGCCTGAGGATATTGTATACAAAAATTATTACAACTCTGCAGAACATACCCAGAGATGCTGCCTACAGGATCTATACAGAGAAAATTGTAAATGAACGATTTGATCTGGTAAAAACAGTAAGTACACAATGTATCTTAAACTCCAATGGCATGATTCCCTTGACGTGTTATCTTCCTACTCTTGTCATACTTTGTGTTTCAAAATAATTGGAAGGTTCTGAACTTAAAATTACTTCATTAAGTAGTTATCCTAATATTGATGGGAGGAGATTTGAGATTTCAGTTGTTTTCACAAGAGGGTGGTATTAGCTTTGGCTTATTCTTGTCAGTCTCCAAAAACTATAAAGTTCCCATTTTACTACTACATGGACTTAGTCCAAAAGAAACCAGATGGATTGTATGCATGTTTCAAGAAGAAGAGGTGTACTGTAAGATTCAGTTACTGGTGCAATAATGAAAGGATCTTATATTGATAAATATTCATCTTCCATGGTAACAAAACTCTACTAAAATGCTGATCACAGGTAGAAAGCCCTTGAAAATCTTTAACTTACTGCTGAGAGATTAGCCTAAAATATTTGCTTGTTGATGAAAAGGTGTGAATGTATGTCACTGGTAACCATAGCTTTCAGGGTTTTTTGTTTTGCGTTCTATGAGAACTTTTCCTTGTTTGCTTATGTGTTGATACTTAAGTTATTTTTTCTTTCAGCATGAGGCATTTATTGCTTACATGTACAGTAGAACAGATCTAAGCCTTTAACTTGCTTTTTTAATTTGCAGGAGCCTGATGTGCAAAAACTAGAAAATAAAATAAATTGTGGACAGATAGAAGAAGTGATTTTGCAGGTAAACTTGGATAATACTTAAGTGCAAACAATTGAAGTGCATTTTAGATTCTTTATGTCAGCTATAATGTGTAGTAAGAGAATGAAGGGATCCCACCATTCATTTTAACGTCCTGATAACTGGGAAATTAATGTCTTTTTGTGTCTCTGTAGAGAAGAATCTGAAAGTTTATTGTAGTTAATATAGCATTTAATCTTTACAATACAGCAAAATCATTGTTATTACTGTATTGAGTAGTAAAATGACTGGTCCTGTGTGCCTGTGGTCCTGTGTTGGGAGGCAGGAATAATTTTTTTGTGTGCATTAGATACACATGAACACATTAACCTGCCTCATACTGAATCAGACCATTGGTCCATCAAGATCAGCACTGTCTGCTCAAACTGGCATTGGCTCTCCAGGGTCTTACATAGAGGTCTTTCACATCACCTACTACCTAACTCTTAAGTGGAGATGCCAGGGACTGAACCTGGGAACTTTTACATACCAAACAGATGCTCTACCTTCATTTATTCCTGGTGAACATCCCAAATGTGCAGGATCACCAGAACAAGGACACGCAAAGGCAAGGTGCCTATCTCTACATACTGGGAGGGAATCCTTAGTTACACAGAAAAAAAATAATGTTGTAATTAGTCAAAAGGAGCAAAACCTATCTGATGAGAACTGAGTATGCTCCAATGGGCATGGAATTTTGAGAGCAGTTGAGCCAATTAATGGGAGGAAAATTATTCTGTTAATATCCTCCTACGTTTATAGAATCCTGGCAGGGAAGATTTTTGATGGTAGGGTAAGATTTCCAAATGCATGCCCTCTTCCTACAGAATTTCTGTATGAACTTGCAGCTTATTTCTCCTAATAGCTAGGTTGACAGGTAACTGCTCTTCGATAAGACATTGAAACAATGCCACTAGCACACAAGGTAGCCGTACCTGCACATTTGGGATACTGGCCAGGAATGTGGAAAAATGTTCTGTTGTATTTTTTTTTAAACCCATGTCCACATCCCAGTGGCTTGAGGAGAGCTGAGTGCTTATTGCTATTAGAAGGACTGGAATATTGAGATGAGTTAAAGTGGTAAACCATGGGATGAAGAAATTAGCTTGCTTGAGCCATAGATGACGTATAGTATTCTGGAGTGCGTGAGACATGCATCTTCTACTTGAAGGTCTCACATGTAGTATAGAGAGGGGAGGTAAAATAAACTCCTCCTTGCACTGTACTCTTTTTCATTCACTGAATAAAGAGTCAGGAGAAGCAATTTCATCTCCCCACAGTAGCCCACATCCCACAATCCTTCCCAAGCCAGAAAGGTGTACTACAGGGAGGGGAAATTAGGAACTATGCCTAATGATTAGTGCTTTCCATTGACAAATTGCTGCATTCAACCCACTAGATCAGTTCAATGCAGAATCTTTTAGGCAAGTTTCAAAATTAACTTGTGTTTTATCAACAGGCAGAAAGTGAACTCTCTCTAGCCCGGAAAATGGTGCAGTGGCGGCCATGGGAGCCGTTAGTTGAAGAACCTCCTGCTGATCAGTGGAAGTGGCCAATCTAATCTGCACTGTTTATAATTTCTGGAATAGAAAAATACTTCATTAAATGTATGCTGGATGTGGATGAAAAATATATTTAATTTAAATACGCTACTTATATTTTTTGTCTGCTTTGATATTGATTGGAATATCACTGTAAATGTTACCCAGAGTGGAGTGGGTTCCTTTTCTAATACTCAGCAGCAAACCTCCCTCCCTCCCTCTTTCCCTCAAATAGAAACTTTTCTTCAAATGGCATCTGCTTCTTACATAAACTGGGGAGTCAAGTCAGTAATTATGCCTCACTGATGTGGAAATTGCTTTATTGTATTTTAGAAATCACAAGAAGGGCGAGGCCTGAGTGGCTTACAGCCTCCAGCTGGCCAAGCCTTCTCCCGCCCCCGCCCCCTCCCCCTCTCCCTCCCTGGTGGTGGTGAAGCAGTTCTCATCTTTTACTTTTGGGGGGGATTTAAAACTTTTCCAAGTTTTCAGATTTTTCTGCACAAATGTGAGGGAAAATTTCTCTGCCCCCCAGGTGCCCACAATGTGCTGATTTAGATATCCGCACAGAGGGGGCACAGTTGGGAATTAGATATATAGATAAGATTTGATTACAAAGGACAAAGCCTGCAAGAAATATTCAACATATTTGCAACCTAGGATGATTCATACTTTTTCGGTACATTGCTTCCTTTTTACGACGAGGCTTGGTATCTGCTATAATCTTAAATTTGATGGGCCTGATCCTTTCCTGCAAAGGTACAGCAAGGCCTGAAGGGTATAGCAGAGTCCTTCTGTCACTCCCCTCCCCTCTTCACATTATCCAAAGGTGAGACTAGGTGAGGATATGGAAGGAATTTACAGGCTTTCTGTTACCTGAAGTATTCTCGCATGACTCCTGTGCGCACATCCTATGGGGGTGGAGATGGGGTTCCATTGTGAAGAGCCCTCCATGTATGGGTTTTATAGCTAGCAGACAGGAACTAATACAGATCTTTATATTCCACATTATCTCAATAAAAGATATTCTAGTCTGAGTTTAACTCCCCACATCCACTCTCAGAAAGAGAAATATGGAAATCTTGTATTCTGCCATGAGGAGCCCACCCACATTCTGTCCTTCCTCGACCGAGACAGAAAAAAATCCCTGCTTTCTCTAAGCAAGTGAACATTTTGTTCTCACAACAGGAGACTTCATTATACCTCTTTTCACCATCTTAGAGTAGGAAGGGGAAATTTTTAGCAGTGACTCAATGAGCTTGGCTTAAGTTCTGGAGAGATGTGACATGGCAAACGGGCAGGGAGAACATGGCCAAGACTAGTAGCAGCTGGGTAAAGCCACTGACCATGACTAAACTATCTTGGTAGAAACATTTACTTTTGGGGGGGGGGGGGGGAAGGAAGACTGTGTAAATGCAGTTGTCTTAATAATAATTAAGGGCTGTCAAGTTGCAACTGACTTATGACAACCCCTCATGGGGTTTTCAACGCAAGATATGAGCAGAGGTGATTTGCCGTTGCTTTCCTCTGCATGGTAACCCTGGTCTTCCTTTCAGCCTCCTAACTAAGGTTGACCCCATGTAGCTTCCAACCCCTGATGAACTCAGGCTAGTCTGGGCTGTTCAGGCTGCGAGTTGTCAATTACCAATTTACAACAACACTTGCATTTGAAGAAAAAACGCTAGGTGGCATAATCCCTAAAGATGTGATAGAAAGTAAGTGCAGAAAGAATGTGCATGATGGTGAACAAGTGATGAAAGATCAGTGATATTTAAGTTCTACTGAACTAATATATATATATGCTTATTGATCCACTGAATTGAGGCTCCTCTTTCTAGAGATTGTTGACACTTCTTCCTTTTAGTTCCTGGTGATGCAACTGCATATCTGGAGTTGCTCTGATGCTACTGCTTGTATGATATGTTGCTGTAAACTTAGTTGTAAGTAATCATATCACCTTAAAAACTAGAATGTCTCCACAGAGGAGTTCTTGGACAACAGAGCATTAAATTGTAGAAGGCACAGAAATTAGTTACATTACAGGAATCCTTGTGTAATTTTATTGAACTATTGCTATACCATCAATAGATGGCGATGAGTAAGGAGTCCCTGTGTTAGAGGACCTTACCAAGAAGGAATTTATCATAGAATCATAGAATGTTAGAGTTGGAAGGGACCTTGTAAGTCATCTAGTCCAACCCCCTGCACTCTGCAGGAGCATAGCTGAAAAATAGTCCTACATACCTACAACATACCCAAAAGATGGTTGCGCAGCCTCCGCTTGAAAACGTCCAGCGAAGGAGCATCCACCACCTCCCGAGGGAGACTGTTCCACTGCTCAACCACTCTTACAGTTAGGACGTTTCTCCTGATATTTAGCTGGTAACGACTCCCTTGTAATCTCCACCCATTAGATCTAGTCTTGTAATCTGGAGCAAGAGAGAATAGATTTGCTCCATCTTCTACATGACAGCCCTTCAAATACTTGAAGACTGCAATCATGTCCCCTCTAAGCCTTCTCTTTCCCAGGCTAAACATACCCAATTCTTTCAACCTTTCCTCATAAGACTTGGATTCCAACCCTCTCACCATCCTGGTTGCCCTCTTCTGGACACGCTCGAGCTTGTCAACATCCTTCTTAAAATGTGGTGCCCAAAACTGGACACGACTCCAGGTGAGGCCTGACCATAGCAGAATAGAGCGGATCTACCACCTCCCTTGATCTGGACACAATGCTTCTGTTAATGCATCCTAAGATTGCATTAGCTTTCTTCACAGCCACATCACACTGTAGGCTCATGTTTAGCTTGTGATCAACCAGAACACCTAGATCCCTTTCGCATGTCCTGCTCTCAAGCCAAGTCCCTCCCATTCTATATCTCTGCCTTTGATTTTTTGTACCTAAGTGTAGGACTTTGCACTTATCTCTATTGAAATTCATTTTATTTGTCTGAGCCCACTGTTCCAGCCTATCTAGATCATTTTGAATCCTGACTCTGTCTTCTTCAGAATTGGCAATCCCACCCAGCTTCGTGTCATCTGCAAATTTGATAAGCATCCCCTCTATGACTTCCTCCAGGTCATTTATAAAAACATTGAACAACACCGGGCCGAGGACCGAGCCCTGCGGCACTCCACTCGAGACTTCCCTCCACATAGATGCAGAGCCATTTACGAGTACTTGTTGGGTACGATTTTTCAACCCAACCATGAATCCATCCAACGGTTGCACCATCCGGCCCACACTTAACCAGCTTATCCTCAAGGATATAATGAGAAACTTTGTCAAATGCTTTACTGAAATCTAGATACACTATATCTACAGCATTGCCGGAGTTAACCATTTTGGTAACTCTGTTAAAAAAGGAGATAAGGTTGGTCTGGCATGACTTATTCTTGATAAACCCATGCTGGCTACTACCAATTAACTCATTCCATTCAGGAGATCCACCAGTGCTGGGGGGGGTCAACAGTGGGAGGGCTTCTAATGTCCTGGCCCCACGGGTGGACCTCCTGATGGCACGGATATTTCTGGCCACTGTGTGACACAGAGTGTTGGACTGGATGGGCCTTTGGCCTGATCCAACATTGGCGTCTCTTGTGTTCTTATGTCTAGCAGAGTTAGATTTCCAGTAAATATCTGGATAGTTGAAATCTCCCATAACCACTACATCCTGTCTCTCTGAAAGTTTAGCAAGCTGTTGTACAAATGCATCATCCATGCAATCCATGATTGGTTTGGAGCTCTGTAGTATACCCCCACAATAATTTCCCCTTCTCCCCCCCCCCGCTGTATCCTTACCTACACACTTTCAACAGGACAACTCTCAAAATCCTGAATTTCACTGCAAGCGTATTCCTTCTTGACATATAGTGCCACCCTGCCTCCTTTTTTGTTTCAGCACAGTAGGGGGTGGGGCTTGCAATCAACAGCACACCACAGCAACTCACTCAGTTTCCAACAACCCCCAAAGCACAAACATGTAAACAGAACCACTCTCTATCAGGCTGCAAGAACCCAACTCTCTCTCAGCTCCCACACAGCAACTAGGAAGGCAAAGGGAGAAAGAAAAATTCCCTACCTTGTATCAGCAACCCACCACGTGCTCTCCACTCCTTGCCTCAGCCCAGGTGAATTTAAGAAAGATTAGAGCAGACTCCCTTCTACCTGCTGCCAAGTTGAACAATCAAGCAACTTCAGGATGCTGCATAGCATTATAAGAATAAGAAAATTGACTATATGAAGTGCTATCTCTTGGGGCCAGCGGAATCCACAGCAGAGCTCTCTGATATTCAGAACTGGCCTAACCGGCCTGCGGACACCAACAGAAGCCCCGACCTCACCTGAAGGTCACGCCAGCAGTGGTTACGAGGACGGCAGATATTGGTCACGGGCGGCGCATTTCTTCGGTGCGGCCACCATTTTGGAGTTCCTGAGGAGACCTGTTTGTAGCCACAGAGATCCGCCTTCGGCTGATGGGACTTCTCTAGGAAAGCAGCAGAAGTCCTCAGGCCTGCCGCTGACACAGGGGTGGCGACGGGGGAGCCTGGGGAGGGTCTCTGCCCCCTTCGGAATCTGCCCTGTCATGCTCAACTTGGCCAAGTCTCCAACATACGATCATTTCAGCAGCAGCCTCGCATATCATTAAAGCTGACTGTTAGCGCCCCAAGGACAGGTACACCCGACATCTGACCCTCTAGGTCACTGAGCGCCCCAAGGACAGCCACTTCAAACATACAGGATGATATACGAATGGAGGAACCCGGGACGGGGGGACCAGAACCTAGGATCCGCTGGGGCCCTAGGAAATGTCCATCAATACTACAGCCTGAAGAAGAACAGGAAGAGGAACAGAGAGCCTGTTCTGTTAGAGCTATAATTTGGCAAGCAGAAATTTTGAACTTTATTTTGTGTCACCATATGATTGCAATCCGGGGGGGTAAGACCACAATTGTACCTTTAAAGATTGACTACCTCTTTCAATAGTCTTTCAGTAGTCATGTATGGCTGCGAGAGTTGGACTATAAGGAAGGCCGAGCGCCGAAGAATAGATTCTTTTGAACTATGGTGCTGGAGAAGACTCTTGAGAGTCCCTTGGACTGCAAGAAGATCAAATCAGTCAATCCTAAAAGAAATCAACCCTGACTGTTCCCTGGAAGGCCAGATAATGAAACTGAAGCTCAAATACTTTGGCCGCCAAGAAGAAGAAGAGATTGGATTTATACCCCGCCCTTCACTACCCAAAGGTGTCTCAGAGCGGCTTACAGACTCCTTTCCC